GAGAATTGTACTTAACACATCATATATAAATAATTAAAAGATTGTGTATAATTTTTTTCATCTCTTCTATCACCTAATTATTTATCGTTATTATCGTATAGATAGTTATGGATCCTCCTAAATTGTTATTGCATCTTATCATACTAATCCTACTCATCATTGAAGGAAGCTCCTATCAAACACATTTACTAAAATTAGTGAATTGCTCATGAACACAAAATCATCAAAACTTTCCTGTAAAATCTAAATCAAAACATTCGCTTTTCATTCATGCGACATCTTAGATCCGATACGAGGAAATCTAACCTTCCATAAGATTTTCCTTTTGCAGTAAAAGTTTATCTTATCAAACGTCCATTAATTAGATTTGTCTACAAGAAACCAAATCCATATACGGATTTAAGGATGCCAATGACGAACACCAAAGTATACCTTTCGATAGCAATTATTACTACAACATTCCACATTCCGTGTCTTCTTTTAATACTAATTTAATCCAAGTTTTCATTGGTTAAACGAGAAATATCTATTGATGACACGTTTTTAAGGGAAAGAGAGATGGTGGCAAGATATCCTCTAATTTAAAATTTATTATATGCATTCTCGGAGAATGATTTATCCCGAAAATTACTTAATATGACAAGATGTAATATATGTGTTACAGTATTTTAGTGGGTATCTACGTAAATATAGGAAGGAGATCCATTGCACCTTTTATTAGAAACATCATTTGGTAAATCTATATTTTCTGTTGGAGAGAATCTAAGTTTGTAATTTGGGTGAGATAATAGCCTTTTGACATATCTATGAGTGTAGAATATATTTTCGGTGATTGGGTTTGGATACGACTATTGGTTAGGTGATCAAGAGACTATGGAACGAGAATAAAATAGTCGCGGGACACACAAGTCATGCACGGCAAAGCAAATAAGATCGCCCCGAATCCACATAAATATGAGCTTTCGACTCTTTAAATGCGTGTTGGCGACGCATCTTTTTCACTCTTGGACTCTTTGCTATTCTTCTTCCTCCTCCTGTCTTCTCTTCTTGTCGATAGAGGCGTGCTGTGGTTTAGGTTTGAAGAGTTGGGGGGGGGGGGGGGAGGGGATGGAGAGCAAGTCCTTAAGTTTGGGATTGGGAAGTGGAAGGTGTGGCTCCTCCAAGAGGGGTAGAAGGAGCAACTCGGAGAAGGCAAAGCGACCCCAAAGAGGACTTGGGGTGGCTCAACTGGAGAAGATCAGATTGCAAGGTCAACTGAACCAACATGTTTCGATCCACAATAATCTCTGCATGGTAATCTCGATGTAGTCTTTTGTACTTTCAAGTTATCTCTATTCACCTCTATCGGTCTCTCGTTAAACTATTATATCTTCTTTGAAGATTCGGAGTAACAATCTATGTGTTTTCGGAATAAATTAAGAAAAAGTGTTAGATTTAGTAAATAAAAAATAAGAACAATTTATAGATTCATCGTATGTATGTTTTTATCTTTGGATGGTGTTTTGTTTATAATCATTTACAGATGATTGCACTAGTAATTTCTATTATCACGGTTGTAGGAGGAATACGACGACGATGGAAAAAGAAATATTATCGATTGCGACGAACATTGGTTTGATACTCTATTTTGATTATATATTTTTTCTATTTTTTTCAGTGATTTTACTCTAGTCTCATCCGACAGGAGATCACGATCGAATGTACCTCTCGTGACGTTACCTCTGATCGAACAATTGCTCGAGCAGTCCATTAAGGTTGTCTTGATTTCTTTTAGTATCTCATTCATTATATTCTAAAATCTTTTCTGACGAAAGATTTATTTATCGTACAGGACTACTCGACGCAAAAGAAGCATTCGATCATCCACAAGTATGATCCAAATGAGGCCGTAGAAGAACTAGATTTGGAGCTTAAACTCTCACTCTAAATGCTTGCAAGACTCTTTTTTGGACTTGTTCGTATTCCTTCCTATCAAAGTTGTCTTGTTCGGCTTACCGAAAATATTTCCAACAAAGATGGCTTATTTGCACCACAAATATGAATGTATTAGTCTCACAGAACGAGTGATGTTGTGGAGAGCACAGATGCAACGTTGAGTGCCGTAAATAGGCACGATGTCTGTGAAGTAGAGGAAGCTTTCTCTGACTCGGTTAAGCGGCAGACAAACGTGCAGTCAATCATTTGCTCGTTCTTTTAAGTTACCTTATCGAGTGAGGCCAGTAAGTGAGAGGTCAATTTACGAACAGAAGAGCCTCGTGATACACTTGTAGGGTTTTAGGTGGTGTGCAGATAATGCACGCACAGTTCGTCTTGTTTGAGTCGTGTCATCGGTAGGACAGACCTCCGGTTAACGTATATCTTTAACCTCGATCACTTACCCGATCAGCGTTTCATTCGCTCTCGTCGTCTTATCAATACTCTCTCTCTCTCTCCTTCACGCCGAGAAGAACACACGCAAAAAGGAGTCTTAGATACTTTAGATGAATTCTGGAGGAAGGATTAGTGCAGGTTGCTATCTTAACATCTTTAGGAGTTCCTATTTTGTGAAAAGAGTTTGACGTCGGCCATCCTATATAGCTTTTATACGATCTTGAAGTATATTTAGAATAAAAGACTAAGTAACTATTTAGTAGATTACATCGATACTTTCACATATTAAGTAGGAGACATTTTTTTTTTTTCTCTCATGGGATCTTAATTATCAATGCTTAGCACCGTCAAATTAAATGTGAATAATTCGTCCTCCTTTCTTTGAAACAAGCGATGCTACTTCTGATTATATACATATTTCAAATAAAATTTATCTTTTTCATATTACTTACTATCTCTAGAGTCAATAATTTTCTATAAGGAACTATTGAATTCGATCATTTGCTAGTATTGATTAATTATTTTCTACCCATATCGCATAAAGATATTCAAATTGGATAAGTGATCGATTTCTAGGTTTCGTCGTAAATATAAATGGTTACTTTTAATTATGTAAATCAATAGGTTTCGTCGTAAATATAAATGGTTACTTTTAATTATGTAAATCAATAGTTCAAACCGCACTCAAAGGTAGAACATTTCCCATAATATAATTCAGTTTATTTTGAAGACAGAGATTATGCATTCAAGTAAGAAAAAAATCTCAGTGAATTAAGATATATTACTGTAAATAATCCATGATTTTTTTTTTTCTAGTGAATCTTTAGAGAAATGGTGAGAATGTTTTTTTCAATGTATATATGAGAGACAGCAGCATAAGGGGAATTTGTGTTTGAGCTGATTAACTCGATGAGTATGATGAAAATTTTAGTTTTCTTGTAAGAATGTCGAACCATATTAATTTTGTATTGATTTTCTCGTATATTACTTACTTATTGATCTTTTGATTTCTGTTTCTTTCTTCCCCAACATTATTCTTTTATAGGAAATTTATGTCTATTGTTCATGTATTCTGAATCCTTTTATTATCTATTATATCGTCTTTTTCTTCTATCATTTCGTTTGGCTTAGTCAATCAGCCCACATAGGAGACATGTATCAGATGGATACTGACCATATAGACCAAGAGCTAACCCTGGTTACTTTGTTGTGGAACATCGTTAATCTTTGATGTTGATAGTACAACCTCTCGATGCACGTTTGTCTACGCTTTATCCATCATCTTAAAAGGTGAACTAGATTGGGATATGGACCCCACTCCAAAAATCTTCTCCCTTCCCTCATAATTAACATTTAGTGCGTTGCACACGAGAGATTAAAAGCAATATCATCATGACACATCGGACAAGTGGATCATATGGTTTAGCATGATGATGTTAATAGTGATGCCCAAATGTTTCGACCGACTCCCCCTATTCGAGTAATGGTTGACTTTGCTAAATGTCAATTAGTATTGGAGACATCTATAAAAGAGTCACAGGTATGTTGGGTCAAACCAAAAGAAAGGGAAAAAGGTATTATGCAACAGTCTGATAGGCACCCAAAGTTTGTAGATGCTTGAGCATGTACAGTGAAACTCTCGTACCTTATAATGGAATATCAAGCTTGCACTGGTAGAGAAATGGAAAAAGTAGTTCCTAGTATGAAGAAAAGAGAATATATGAACACCCGAAAACACAGGAAAGCCCATAAAAAGGACACTCTTATAAAGCTAAATGGTCGCAAACTTAAGAAATTTCATTCATGGAAGCGTTCCAAATCTCTAAAAGCAAGTTTCGACAACACATGCAGAGATCGGAATGTTGATAAATCTACTTAGAAGCAACATCGAACAAGAAGATATGTGGTAATACGATCTTAATACACGAGAAACTCGTATCGCGGGAGTAACAGAACACCATCTCAATGTTGATAAACCTACTCAGAAGCAACATCGAACAAGAAGATATGTGGTAACACAATCTTAATAGAGGAGAAACTCGTATCACCAGGAGTAACAAAACACCGTCTCAATGTTGATAAACCTACTCAAAAGCAACATTGAACAAGCAGATATGTGGAAATACGATCTTAATACATGAGAAACTCGTCTCAACTTGCTCGCATGATGTGCTAAGTTAACTAGGTGATTTGGAAATCAATCATATGAGGTATTTCAAGTGGCACACATGCCCTCCTCCAAAACAGATGTATCATCAACATAAAGAACAAACAATTGACAGCAATTCACGTCGTTTCTGTGACTTAAAGAACAAACAACCTACCTCAACTTACATATTTTCCATCATCTTTTAGCCATATAATTAAATGTCTGTACCTACTGACTAGTGCTGTTTTGCATATCCCAATTAACATCATCTCGGTGATTTTACTGAACCAACCATCTGAGAACATCCGATAAGCTCGCCTATCTATATGGAGGCAGTCCTCCGAATCGCTGTGATGATCTAAGAACAATGAGAAACTATCAGGCCTTTCCATGACTTAGTCTATGAACTTTCTGAACTGGAGACTCGGATTATCCGACCAAACTATTATATCGGATCATGAGAGAAAGCAAACATCGATCAGAATATAAAGGACAGCATAATGACTTGTTTAAGTTGGTCATCCAATGGATATGGCAAGCATGCAACAAATTCGACCTTCCACCAAATTGTTGTCTTGCATGAAACATATTATTGCTTTAGGCTCTGATCCCAACTTACAATTCACTACAAACTTCTTGTGCAGTTTTCACTCTGCAGCCATGAAATAGAAAAATGATCTGTAAATCTACAAAATGTGCCAACTTTATCATATTGTGCTACATATGAATGTCTATCACATAGTCTGAAACTAAATGAAAGAATCATGTAATAAATGGACAAAAGGAAGATAAACTTTCCATAGCATTTCTTCTGAATTTTCAGAAATGAAACAAGATATGAATCAGAAATATGTTCCCCTGCTTTTTCAACAAATAATTCAGCTCTATACGAACAAACTATACCTTTAATTCACAGTCACAAGAAAAAGTATATAAACTGGAACCGATCGTAGCATTTTGTTCATATGCCAAACTGAGCCACATCAAGCATTCAAGCAAAATCCAAAACCAAGTGAAGACAACAAAGGCAGGGAGATAAAGGTGTTGATTTGGACCTCATGAGCCACATCAAGCATTCAAGCAAAATCCAAAACCAAGTGAAGAAAACAAAGGCAGGGAGATAAAGGTGTTGCTTTGGACCTCATGGGCCTTCGCTTGGGCTCGTCCTCAGGACCGACGAGTAGTAGTGCGCCTCCAGCTCCTTGAGGCTGGCCGCGGCCTGCTCCCCGACCCTCTCAAGAAGCCGCTCCGAACCCTCCTCCAGCCGGTTGAATTCGGCGATCCGCCGGTCCACGTTCTCGTTCAGCGAGCCGAACCCCGAAAAGATCGCCGTCTGCTTCAGCTCCGACACCAGATTCCTCAACGACTCAGCCGCTTGAACCTGCCATCGAAATCTAACACGATGAAAACAAGAAATCGAACGGGAAGGAGCAGAGAAGAAGGGTTTCCGACCATCCTTGCGGCCCGGATCTCCATCTGGAACGCTTCCTGCGAGTTGCGAACCGGCGGGTCGTTGACCTAAAATCAAGAGGCCGAAGGGTGAGCGACAGATCGACAACAGGGGGAGGATTACGGAACGAAAGATAGAAACCCTAGCGAGGTTGACGAGCTGATTAAAGTTGTCGACGATATTGGTCACGTCGGTGTCGGCCCTCTGCAGCAGGGTCTTCTGCTTCTGCGCCGCCGCGGCCGCAGCCGCCGCCGTCGGGCCGCCTCCTCCGCCGCCTCCTCCCGCGGCTTTGTTCATCCTTTTGGGGGGAAGGCTACTTGCGAACCGTCGCCCCACGCAAAGCTATATCACTATGACGGCCCATCATGGCCCAATTAATTGTCACTCCTATGTAAGGCTTATTAGCCCAATAACTATTGACATAAATATGATAAGCACGACAATTGAGGGTCATTAATGCCTCTATAAATCACATATAAAACATTCGTACGATTTCAGTGCAATTCATAATATATTCTGACACAGATCGAGAAACCATAGCGAGAAGTTTTCGATCGCAAATTGCATCTCCATTTCATGTCCTTTACAGCGCTAGACTCGCAACAAGCTCTGCTTCCCTCTGCAGCTCCCTGAGAACCTTCACGACCTCACCCAACACCGCCGCCGGCTCGTCGGACTCTCCCATGCCCACCATCGCAGCCAACACCTCAATCTTCTTCCTCACGGCCTCCACGTTAAGGAGATCGGCGATGGTGTCGTCATCACCGATCGTGGAGCCTTTTAGTGGATTAGGTGATCCTTCTTGTGCGAGCGGCTCGACTCCGTCGAGATTCTGAAGGTGGTGCCCTGTTTCCGGTGGGAAGGAGGTGAAGGCGCAGCCTGAGAGGTCGAGGAAGGCATATGTAGGTGCCGATGGTTCCATGGTCACAGGAGTGCTAGCAGAAGAGAGGAGAAATAGAGATAGAGAGTAAAAGCTAGTAGGAAAGTAATTAATGATACGTTTCAAGGCGGGCTTTTAGGAAGACATGGTGGACGACAGCTAATCTCTCCCTGTACTGAGCGAGAGGAAGAAGAAAGGGAATGGGACCGCAACATCGGCTGAGAAGCTATATATATTAAGGTCCGGTAATGGAGGTTGATTCATCCATGTGGAAATCCAGCCACCGTTTCCGGGAAACATGTTCCCCGTTCGAGGGGATTTCCTCTGTGTTGCTGTTCCCAATGCGGGGTGTACGTGAAGGGGAGTAGCCACGAAGGGGGGCGAAGAAGGCGAGGCTTTGTGTTCTGGTGGCGGGGCACTCGAGTGGGTGAGCACGTACGTCAAACGACGGTCGAAGCCCGTGCTTCTCCGCGGGCCCGACGAAGAAGGCGAAAGGGGCGGGGCGCGTGCAGGCGGTGGCGGAGGAGGAGACACGGGTGAGTGGCGACGCACGCACGCACGCGAAGCCCGGTCTCCGCAGAGTGTGCGACGGGGGGAGAGGGCGACGCGCGCGTGGGTGCGTTGGGAGGCCGCCGTGGAGAGAGGGTGTCGTACGAGTGTTCCCTCTGCTGACCCCATTGACGCGCACCGAAGTCAAGAAAAGGTCGCGTGAGTTCCCCGTCTTCCCACTCCACTCTTCGTTCGCCCTTCTTCTTCGTCTCCATGGCTGATGACCTCAACGTAGCATCATGCAATTACAACTCATCAGTGCTTTAAGAAGAGCGCATCATCTTGATTAGTGCTTTATGTCGATTATGCTTTAAGATGAGTGCATCGTCTTGATTAGTGCTTTATGTCATTTGTGTCGAATAGTTATGACATTTTCATAACTATAATATACTATAATGCGGAATTTGGGGCTATAAAGAAATATTCCAATGGCCACCTATAACAATGCAACACCGAAGTGTTTGAAATGCTCACGGAAACAAAAAGGTCCAATGATGTTTTCACCTCGATCCAACACAACGTTATCTTTAATTTGGACAAGGAAACAAAAAGATGCAATGATCTCTTATCCTTCCTCCTCATTCCAACAGCGATTGATTTGTCACGCTCGATCAAACCGAGTGAGGAAAAGGATCGAACGATGGCAAGAGATGTGCGATTTGATTTGAGGTTGCACCTGAGATCATAACAAGCTTCCATGGCCAATCCAATAGCCACACAAATTACAAGGGCTTATCGGTAGCTTCTCCGAGCATCCGAGGTGATTAAACCGTGGAGTGCCTCTCCGATCCCCATCCCTTATCCTTCTCCTTCATCATTTCTTTTTTTGATATTTTCTTTTTTTATTATTAAAGCTTATAAATATATTATGTTCTTTAAATTTTTAAATTATTATTAATTATTTCTATTTCCTCTCATCATCAAATTATTATTCATGAATAAAAATATTTAATTTTATATTATTTTCTATCAACTTCATATGTCTAATATTTAGATTCATAAAATATGATTCATCGAATATTATCTTATAAATTTTTTTTATCAAATTAGTATAAATATGATAACAACGAAACCGTACATCCTAATTATTTAAAATCGATTATATAGATCTTTTATCGTCATTGAGATATACAAAGAATCATATGTTTAGTTGGGTTCAAAGTATTTAAATTTTTATTTATAGTTTTTGTTAAGTCTTTTTACATCTTCTGATATTTTTTTTTCGTATAACTAAAATTAATTATTTTATCTTTCATGACTTTCACATGCAAGATGAATAGATGGTAGAGTGCCCCTCCAACCCTCATCCCTTATCCTCCTCGTTCATGACTTTTCTCTTGCATAATAAATTGAGACAAAAAAATTAAGAGTATAAGACAAAGAATGATAGCTCCACCCATGAGGGGATGCTTTCGATGTTTCCTTCTTTGTTATTAAAGTTTATAAATATGTTATGTTCTTTAAAATTTTAAATTATTATTAATGGTTTCTATTTCCTCTCGTTAATAAAAATATTTAATTTTATATTATTTTCTAATAACTTCATGCATCTAAGATTTAGATTCATAAAATATAATTGATCGAATGATTATCTTATAAAAAAATTATTTTTTAAAAATCAAATTAACCCTAAATATAAAAATAACAAAACCATAAGTTTTAATTATTTAGAATTGATTACATGTCTTATTGAGTTATGTAAAAAGTCATATATTTAGTGAAGTTTATAATATTTAAATTCTTATTATAGTTTCTATTAAAATCTTTTTAGATTTTCCTTTACCTCTCATAGTATAACTTACATCAATTATTTTATCTCTTTTGACTATCATATTTTTTTTTCTGACCATTACATCCGAAGGTCTCCTCAGCACATGTTTATACTATCTTAAACAAATTTTTTCTCATATTATTCTTTATCGAAATGATACTTAATTGTTCACAAATAAATATTTTTTTTTCTATCTTTTCTATTAATTTCATATATCTATCTCAACGTTCTCATATTTGTAGCACAAGCTTTTCGTGTATGTTTTTTTCTTAGTTATTTAACACTTAAATTTATAAAGCATTGTTGGTCTTACAATTTACTTATAATTTTTTTTTTAATCTCAAAGGTATCTAATAATCATACAAGACTTCTAATATCCCTTGTCATTTTAACCATCATATTTTTCACTCTATGAATAATAGCTTCATCAATCCATTCATCTCGTTAAATGATTGATCCAAATTATCTAAAACTTTAAATTAAAAGGATTTTTTATCTATCTAATTTAATTATATTCTCTGATTTATTTTTAGATAATATAAAATTATATTATATATATTCAGTTTTATTATTACTTAATCTAAGATAGAAACTATCTTCATAGCTCAAGCTTATACTTAGCTTCCGAGATAATATGATCCGTAAATAATATATACTATAGAGATTTATCATTTAAGTAACTAATAAATTTATTCATGAAAAAATAATAACTTAATATGAATCTTTTAGGTTACCCAATAATCATATAGAAAAATATATTATAATTTACTATGTAGCAAGGAATCTTTGAGGTACGACAAATGGTATTTTAGGTCAATGCAACAACGATGTGTTTTAAGTTGACACGGAAACAAAAAAGGTGCAACGACCTTTTCACTTCATTCCGACAACGTTGTGTTTTGATTTGGACAAGGAAATAAAAAGGATGCAATGATCATTTTAACCTCCTTTTCAACGGCGATGACCATATGTCATATAAATCGATATTTTGTATTTGAATTTCGATTTATACGACATATTTAGTGATTTTATTTTGTCTTGTTTTACTGATTGGGCTGTTTTGTTTGATTGTAGGCAAATATTTTTCATATATATTGAGACTTTGGTGTAATCAAACTAAAATCTATATAAAGTTCTAATGTCTCAATTAATTGGTTTGACTACATGAATAATTTTTAAAAGTATTAGTAATGATTTCTAGAATAATCTTTTTTATCTCTACTCTCAATTAATTATTCACAAATGAAAATATTTATATATATATTATTTCTTGACATCTTTTCACATGCATCTCAATATTTCTTTTTGATCTTCTAATATTCAGCTTTATAAAATATGATTGGCCAAATAATCATTTTATAAAAAAATTACTTTTATGGAATTGGTTTGTGTAGTAAATAAAATTGGACAAGATGTTTCCAAAAAACTGTTTTTAATATAGATAATCTTCCCACTATGATATATAGATAGCTCTCTAGAATATAATAAATAATATTATAAAAATTATAAATTTAATAAATAATATTATACTAAAATTTTATAGTCCTTTAGTCTTCAGCATATATGAGTTTATATAGACATGGAAAAGAAGGTAAAACTCTATTTCAATTGTGACGAATAGTTATGACATTTTTTAACATCGTGACACGTTAAATTAAAATTTTAAATTATAAGTGCTTTTCATAATCATTCCGCCTCATTCTTTTTTTTTTATGCTAAATTTCTTGTATAGAACGAACTTTGGCACCCGATGATATATTAAACCAAGATTATAATATATTATAATGTGGAATTTGGGGCTATGAAGTAATATTCCAATGCCACCTATAACAATGCAACAACGATGTGTTTGAAATGGTCACGGAAACAAAAAGGTGGTGCAATGATGTTTTCACCTCCATCCACACAACACTATCTTTAATTTGGACAAGGAAACAAAAAGATGCAATGATCTCTTATCCTTCCTCCTCATTCCAACAGCGATTTGTCACGCTCAATCAAACCGAGTGAGGAAAAGGATCGAATGATGGCCGGAGATATGCGATTTGAAGTCACACCTGAGATCATAACAAGCTTCTCCAAGCATCCGAGGTGATTATACCGTGGAGTGCCTCTCCAACCCCCATCCCTTATCCTCCTCCTTCCTAACTTCTTTCTTTTGTTTTTTCATTTTTTGTTATTAAAGTTTATAAATATGTTATGTTCTTTAATTTTTATTATTTTTATTATTAATTTATATTTCCACTTATCATCAACCATTATTTACGAATAAAAATATTTATTTTTAAATTATTTTTATAATAACTTGATACATCTAATATTTATATTTATAAAATATGATTGATCGAATGATTATCTTATAAAATATTTATTTTTATCAAATTGATACCAAATGTAAAAACAATAAAGTCGTAAGCGTCAATTATTTAGAATCGACTACATAGATCTTTTAATATCTCAAAAAGTTATATGTTTAGTTAAGTTCAGAATATTTAAAAATTTTATATTTTTTTTTAATTTTTTTTATCTTCTTCTATCTCTCATCGTGTAATTGATATCAATAAATTATTTAATCTCTTTTGACTATCATATTCGAAGGTCTCATCAACATATGTCCACATCATTTTAACGATTTTCTTTCATATTATTCTTCATGAAAGTGATACTTAGTTGTTCACGAATTAATATATTTTTTTATTAACTTCATATATCTATCTCAATATTTCTCATCTCGATAGCAAAAACTCTTTGTATATGTTTTTCCTTAGTTGTTCAACACTATGAATAATAGCTTCATCAATCGCTCTATATTGTTGAATAATTGATTCAAGATGAGACTTTTTGTCCATCTAATTTAACTATATTTTTTTAATCTATTATTAGAATAACTAAATTATATTTTATATATTTAGTCTTAGTCCTACTAAATCTAAGACATTTAGTTTCTAAGACTTTATCTTTATAGTTCAAACGTATAATTAATTCAACCTAAGTTTTTATCATTTAATTGACTAATAAATTTATTTATTATTAATATAAAAATAATAATAATAATCCTTTAGATTACCCAATAATCATATTAAAAAACAAAGATTATAATTTACTATGTAGCGCGGAATCATTGTGCTTCGACAAATGATATTTTGGGTCAATGCAACAACGATGTGTTTTAAATTGACACGGAAAAAAAAGTGCGACGACTTTTTTCACCTCTTTACGACAACGTTGTCTTTTGATTTGGACAAGGAAACAAAAAGATGCAATGGTCATTTTAACCTCCTTTTCAACAGCGATGATGTCCCTCTCTAGCTTGGACCAAAGTGAGGAGAAGGATATATGGAAGGTTGCCAAAGTGAGATGAGCACTCCTGAGATCATAGCCCAACAAGCTTCCATTGGCCAACCCAATATAGCCACATAAATTATGACTACTTGTTTCTTGGTTGCTTCTCCAAAGCATCCAAGGTGATAAGACCATGAAGTTGCCTCTCCAACCCTTATCCTCATCGTCCATGACTTCTCTCTCTCTCTTTCACACACACACACACACCACGGATTGAAACGAAGAAATTAAGAGCGACGACATAGAAAGATAGCTTCACCCATCCATAAGGGATCGTTCGTTCCATGGATGATGGTATCAATGATAAGTACATTATGATAATATAAACAAAAGTATATTATGATGACATGACAAATACCTTATCATCTTATGGTAACATATAGTGGACGCGTCGATCACCCGAGGCCACATCAATCGCACGCGACTGGTCGACGACAAATTGTTTGGGTAGCATGTCAGTACCATGTGACGATACATGACAGATGCTTCGATCGCCTGAGCCCATCGATGATCACACATGATCGTGTCAACGTATCTCTAGTCTAGATTGAACCAGTCAAGGAACGTATTGGACACGATGCCATTAGTTTGATTAAGCAGGAATACATAGCATGTTCCCCATGATAATCTCAAATATAATGATATTCAAAGTCACTTATTAAAAATGACCCCTTAGTATGTTCTTGATACACTGAACAATTCCCTTCACTATAATTAATCGACTATGAATTTATTTGATAACTGTGTCGATTCATTGATTCTACGGATTGCATATTCGATTAGTCTGAACTCAAGACTATCTTAATCGTCGAAAACTTCATTTCACGGGTTAGACACTTTGTAAGTGATGATATGACTTAGAAAGAACCCTAGTTGGATTTGAACCCCTCTTCCAGCTTAAACAATCATAATTTGCACTAACAAATTTGAATTCTACATTTATCCCTCTTTTTTAGTATTTAATTAGAAATTTTAGAGTTGCGTTCACACTTCAAGTTAAATCACCTTGCAAGTGTGGAAAAATTGTTAAGATTAATATACATTTCGAGACTAATTTGTGGTAATCCAATCAAAATATTTAACATCTTTTAGAGGGCAAAGTTTGTAGATCTCTTGTTAGTCAGTCTATCTGATCTAAGAATACATATCTAAAAATAAAGCACAATTACCTTTTAAATCCTTCCAACAATTGAGCAAATTAAATTGATGCTTATTAGAACCTATCGTTCTACACCTTTTTTTTTTTTGTTGACTAATCTCTGTTGTTGTATTATGTTGACCTTTTGCTACGCGAAACAATTTCATTGTAATACGAACGCTTTTCTTCTCTTCCAACATTTATGATGATTGTATGGGTTACAACGAGACACGAGCACTTATCACGGAGAAGTCGATGAAAGATCCGACCAACCTCTACAAAGTAGATTGGGCCACCAATGGATCGAGCATTCCAATCTTACTTTAATGTTGACAAGGATGGTTGACGGCGTTCCCTTTGGATTTTATTCCATCCAACCTTTCCTTAAGAGAATTGGTAGAGTGACCTTATCGGTTGGACAAAAGAAAGACCTAAGAAAGAGACTTTAAATTCTCTTTATTGTGTGGGTAGATTTTTTTTATGGTATGAAGTGATGACCTAATCATTAGCATAGATTATTTAAATCAAGATGATTAAAAAAATATTATTTTGATATTGATTTAATAGTAATTTTATAATATATATTTCCTTATATGTTAATTTTAATTTGAATGTCGATATCTCGTTAAACATTTTCATGCTTCAATATTATTCATTTTTCTTTCTTTCTCGTGTGACTACCTAATGATTCGAAAATCAAAATCCATGATATTATTTCTTTTTCTTTCATAAACACGTTGAATTGAAAAGTCAAATCGTACCACATAGCTAATATCAATGTCGAAAAAAAAGCTATTCCTTTTTTCTCTAAAAACATATGTATATCTCCATATACACAAATGGAAAACTCAAAAAAGAACTTACCGAATGTACCATCTAAAAACATAACGCGATGTGAGAGTTGAGTGGCATCGAAGAGTGATTTATTGCGTGGGACATTCATTCAGGTAGCTATGTGGCTTCGAGGAATAGTACGATATGTCGGCATCGGGCATTAAAGGATGGTCCGATTGAGGTAGTACAATGAATGCTGTGGAAGGATTCCTCATGTTTCCACAACTTTATCCAACCTTCCAATTTGATCCACGTTGGGACATTCAATTAAAATTTATGAATAATCGATTTAATAGTTTTGGTTAAATTAAAAATTTTAATTTTAGTTGGAAAATTTATGTATTGTAACCATCAAGCGAGAAAGACATCTTAACCGATTTCATTTTTGATAAATGATTCATATAATCAGTGTTAAATAATTAATTTTTATGATATTGTTGTTGTTGTTGTTGTTGTTGTTAATGAACTTAATCTTTCGTACTTATATGTATGGTTAAATCAAATCGATATACTTGGATTCAATCTTTTTATATTCTTTATTTTTTTTACGAGGTTTCTTGGTGATTATTTTTTTTCTTTTCTCGAGGAGAAAATAATGAATAGGAGAAGTAAAATTGAGATATAGAGAGAAAAAAGCTTGCCAAAGTAAATTCTTGATAAATAAGTGTGATATTTAAAAACGAATTAGTGGATATTATTTTGGGTAAGTTGCTCCTCCATCCGTGTCACACATCAATATAGCACACATGTATCACGCAATACTAAGATCCTCTATATATGTCACAAAAATCAATCAGAAAAATATAGCTCAACAACTGACATACCTTTTAATGTTTTTAACCTCATGTTTCTTTATTAAAATATATTGATATAAATTTAAGTTTCAACTATAATTTATTTATAGCAACTTATGGAGATTAATTATATATATATATATATATATATATATATATATATATATTCGAATTCCGAGAACAAATTTGAGCGTCCCAACTTTGAAAAAAATTTATATAATACTTTTTTTTTGTTTTTTTTTCAAAATGATCATCTTACACTTATATCATCCTTCACCAGTTAGTCACACCACCCACCACCATCTTCTGGCCGCTTATATTTTCACGTATGGGTTGCCCCATCGATTCTCACTCTCGACATATAAGAGAGCTATTTCCACTAGTTGTCCTCGTTCTCTTCCCTAATTGTTTATGCCTTCATAAAAGGGTTGTCCTATATTGATTTCCTGTTCTACTTTTTTTATTACTTACGTCTTTAGGATAGATTCGTGGATCCACTCTATGATGTCCATAGATTCAAAAAGAACACACCAACAATGATAAAGATGTTTCCGACAAAAATAATTATTTAAGTTATTTTAATATATATATATATATATATATATATGAGATTGACACTGCGGACCACATAAGGCATTACGTTCCATTCTTTTCGCATGAGGAAAAGCACATTGGACCACCGAAAGCATTGCTGTTGGCAGCCTCCACGAGTTTCGGCTGACCCCGTCGGCCGCCCCCCTACCCGTACTATCCCCCCAAAGGTCCAGCTAGGGTACAGCGACGGTGACGGAGACGACGGTGATTCCGACGACAATAGAGATAAAATAATTATTTTACGTGACCAGTGATATTATCTGAATTTTCTAATTATAGTATTATACGAAAAAGTTTCAAACTTCAATTTTTTTTAATATGTAGGTAATCGTTAGATTAGATTTTTATTTGTGATTCGGGTGCACTCAATCCGATGGAAATCTTTCTCTTTGCATTGGATTCGGGTCACATTGATGGAAATCATATCTGATCCAAATTTACGGTGCTTAGAAATATCTAGATGACGTCGACTGCCTTATTGCTCATCTCAACAAATAAATATCTGGCCAAAGTTGCTCAACCTTATCTGACAGAGCTATTCACACAGTAAAAAGCCAGGCCACGTAATTAGCTCTTCCTCGCTCTTTATATATCCACCAACAAGAGGACCAAACATTGGTACCATAACCCAGAGATGGCGAGGATAAAGCTGGGAAGCAGAAAGGAGATGACCGACCCGGAGTTCGCTCGGTCCGTCCTCACCGAGCTGCTCCTCACCTTCCTTTTCGTCTTCGTCGGCGTCGCTGCGTCCATGACCGCCGGTAACATGACTCGTTTCCTTTTCTCAACCTGTTGCTGGGTTTGGTATTTGAGGGGTGGCATCGGTGGTTGTTGTTGCAGGGAAGATGGCAGGAGGGCAGGACTCGATCATGGGACTGACGGCGGTGGCGGTGGCTCAGGCGATGCTGGTGGCGGTGATGGTAGCCGTCGGCCTCGACGTCTCGGCTGGGCACTTGAACCCCGCCGTCACGATCGGGTTTGCCGCCGGCGGCTACGTCACCGTCTTCCGCTGCGTCCTCTACGTGATCGTCCAGCTGCTGGGCTCTTCCATGGCGTGCCTCCTCCTCCAGTACATCGCTGGAGGGCAGGTGAGTCTGATTGCCGCCTTCGTCTACTACCTGCTCGTACCTCGGAACTAACTCCTGCTCCTGGCGGTGGAGCAGGCCGTCCCAGTTCACGCGCTCGGTGTGGGCATAGGGCCCCTTCAAGGTGCGATCATGGAGGTCGTCCTCACCTTCTCCATGGTCTTCTCCATCTACGCCATCATCGTAGACCCCAAGAAGGGCATCGTGTCGGTGCTGGCGCCGCTGCTCATTGGTCTCATCGTGGGGGCCAACACGCTCGCCGGCGGGCCCTTCTCGGGGGCTTCCATGAACCCGGCGAGGTCCTTCGGGCCCGCCCTGGCCACCTGGGACTGGACCAATCACTGGGTGTACTGGGCGGGGCCCTTCGTGGGGAGTGGCCTCGCGGGGTTCGTCTACGACCACCTCTATCTCATGCGGCCTCGTGACGACCTCCCTGGGGATGAAGAAAGCATCACCAAGCCACTCTGTTAGATTCTTTTTACCTCCCTGGGGATGAAGAAAGCATCACAAATGACGTGTAGTGTCACGTCATTTGTAGATTAGATGATAGGGTCCCACATGTTCTACGTATACATGTGTATATACATGAAATTACTAGAACTTGAGTAGGTCGACAGAAAAATAGAACCTCCGACTTGAAATCTGTAAGGTTTCTCTTGTGAGACGTCAGTCATGTAAACTCCTGAAACTGGATAGCACACAAAGGAGTCGACCATAAAGATTGCTAAGTGCATCGATATCCAGTGATAGTTGGCACCATTCATTAACCTTCTGTGGTAAACAAACCCATCCTTCGCAAAGTCAATGAGGTCGGAATTAAACTCCATTGGTCGTCTCCTACAGGCAAGGAGAGCTCATCGTCCCAAACAACGACCCCCGTGTGGCTTTTTGCTACCAACACTCCAACGAATTCCACCAATCCGAGCTCGCCATTCCGTGTGATCCCACCTCCTTCCATCAAGCTTAGAGTTCCATTAGTCTTATATCATGCCGTGGATTCTATCTAGTGGGAAGACGACCCGTCGTTGCGACATGACACGTAAAATAATATAGCATCTCCCTGTCCTTCCCACGTACCGATGAACGCCTTAACAACAATGAATGGATCCTTCATATGACAACGAGGAGCTATTTTGCCTTGGATCCGGATCCAAATGTGAAATCTCGAGTCGACTTTATAGATTATCGATCTATTTTGCCTTGGATCCTGATATTTGTATATGAACAAATACTAGCAGGCCATGATATGCAACGGAATTAAATGACATCACAATCAAATAGAATACCAAGATATACGTGGAAAACTCAATCAAATAGAATACCAAGATATATGTGAAAAACCCCTCTAATGTGAAGGGTAAAAATCATGAGGCAAACTAGAGATAATCCACTATGAGAATTGATGAGGGTAATAATGGCGACATGACGCGCCACGACGTCAGCCACGCCTGGACGACACTTTGCCCAAGGAAGAGGGCAATAATACCGACTCGATGTGCGCCGACGTCACCCGCTCTCAGACAACGACTTCATCGTTGCCTGACCCCGCACGCTTGGCCGAGGCAAATGAGGACGACGACCGAGGCTCGCCCATACCCTGCGGTAGTTCGGTTCTCCACGCAATGCCAACGGCAATGTCAGACGCCATCAGAGGTACGATCCTGCTCCTGCGGCCTAGCACATCATGTAACACTAAACTTACCTATAAATACCCCCGAGTTCTAAACGAAAAGGGGAGAGCACTTCTTCATACAAAAATCCCCTCCGCATCCTCTAACTTGATCGTCGAAGGGGTCGAGCCGAGCGCCTCGGCCCGACCTTTGTGCAGGTGCAAGGACTAAGGTCCCCTGCGGACGCGCAGGCGAGTTCCCCTCCAGCGGAGATGGCTAACCTCGTCCCGAATCGGACCGCCGCATCCGACCACCTCGGCGAACCAAAGGGCCGCACTGGGAAGATCCCCGCCTTCCGGACTCGAACCGAGTCGCGTCAGCCCCGAGGCCACGGCTCAAAGTTGTTTCCCACGACAGATTGGTGCTAGAGGAAGGGCCCGGAATGTCGGGTCATCACCCGAGCGGCTCAAATGAGCCCACGGCTGAGAGGTCACACCTGACCGAAGCCTCGGGGGACCATCTCCCGCACGGAGGCCATCGTGACGAACACCCCGCCACGACCTCCGAACGATACTTACAAATATTCAACGACCCGGGCTTATCGCCGCCCGACGGCGCCCCCGCCGACTCGACGCCCATGTCACCCGAGGCCTTTCAGGACCTCACCCGTCAAGTCCGAGCTCTGATGGATGTGGTGCAAACCCTCATCCCGCTCGTTCCTCATCCGGCGCACCCGCATGCAGTCCAACCACTGCGACAAAATGAGCCGCCCGTTCGGGCCCACACAACACTTCCAGAGCCCCCCATTTCACCTCAGGTCCGACCGACCCCACTCGGGGATCCAGTGATGGCAGACCCGAGTGGCCGCCCGGAACCCGAGGCACTCTCTTTGGACTCCGGGCCCAGTTGCGCTTCGTCAATCAGCGACTCGACGAGGTGCAGAAAGAGGTTCGCAGGTCCAAGGGAGAGCTCGAGGAGGACGCACACCAAGGGTCTCCCTTCACGCTTGAGATACGGGATCAGATAGTCCCCCCGGACTTCCAGCTCCCCTCTCTGGACGCCTACGATGGCTCCACCGACCCGGCGGACCATGTATCTGCTTTTCGTGCCCAAATGACGCTATGCGGAACCTCTGATGCCTTGATGTGCAGAGCGTTCCCTACCACTCTGAGAGGGCCGGCCCACGCGTGGTATGACACCTTAAAGACCGAAACGATCGCTTCCTTCGACCAGCTCGTCAAGGACTTCGAGCTCCACTTCGTGGCCTACACACGGCCGAAGCCTTTCGCAGCACTGCTCCTCGGACTCAAACAAAGGGAGGACGAGCCCCTCTCCCAGTTTGTGGATCGTTTTGCCGCGCAAATCCGGGGCCTGCCGGATACTCACCCCTCTCTATTAGTGCAGGTGTTTACGATAGGCCTGCGACCTTCCAGATTCCTCTGGTCCCTCTCGAAGCAACCTCCCACCACGGTGCTAGAGATGCTCCAGCGCGCTAACCGGTACATCGCCGTGGAGGCCTGGGCGACCGTGAGGAGAAGGGACGGCCCCCGACCGTAGGCTCCATAACAGAGGTCAAGCACCCGCGGTGGCTACCCCATGTAGTCCTCATGAAAAGAAATCCATGCCCTGCCTCAGCCTCTTTCGAGCCAAGGTTCAGTATCTACCTGACCCCCTCTCGGCTCGTGGTTAGCCCCGGCTTGAAATCTTCCGAGTCAACACGGCTCGGCCACAGACTGCCGAGCCCCCCTCAGGGCGGCCTCTCGGCCCGAGCCACGTCCCTCGGCCATGCTGCCCGAGTCCATCTCAGGGCGGCCTGCCCACCTGAGTTGCATCTCTCGGCCACAGACCGCCGAGTCCACCCCTGCGCGGCCTGCCCACCTGAGTTGCATCTCTCGGCCACAGACCGTCGAGTCCACCCTTGCGCGACCTGCCTGCGTCATGCTCCTCGGCCCCATGCTCCCCGAGACACACCTGCGCGGCCAGCGTGCCTGCGTCGTGCTCCTCGGCCCAATGCTCCCCGAGACACTCCTGCGCGGCCAGTCCGCCTGCGTCGTGCTCCTCGGCGTCATCTTCCCGAGACACACCTGTGCTGCCAGCCCATCTGCGTCGTGCTCCTCGACCGCATGTTGCCCGAGACCACACCTGCGCGGCCAGCCCGCCTGTGTCGTGCTCCTCGGCTGCATGTTGCCCGAGACCACACCTGCGCGGCCAGACCGCCTGCGTCGTGCTCATCGGCTACATGCCCCCCGAGACCACACCTGCGCGGCCAACCCGCCTACGTCGTGCTCATCGGCTCCACGCCCCCCAAGACCACGCCTACGCATCCAGCCCGCCTGCGTCGTGCTCCTCGGCTCCATGCCCCCCAAGACCACCTACTCGGCACGTCCCACGCGCCCGAGGCATGCTCCTCGGTCTCATGTCGCTTGAAGGCCACCTTTGCGCGGCCTGCCCGCCCGACACGTGCTTGACCTCATGTCGCCTGAGACTACCACGGTATCGAAGGCTGAAGCCTTGCCTCAAACTCCCCCCTTTTTTACAACAACCAACGCATAGCTCCCTTCGGGGGGGGGGGGGAATATGATGAGGGTAATAATGGCGACATGACACGCTACGACGTCAGCCACGCCTGGACGACACTCTGCCCAAGGAAGAGGGCAATAATGCTGACTCGATGTGTGTCGACATCACCCGCTCTCAGACAACAACTTCATCGTTGCCTGACCCCACACGCTTGGCCAAGGCAGAGGAGGACAACGACCGAGGCTCGCCCATACCCTGCGGCAGTTCGGTTCTCCACGCAACGCCAACGGCAATGTCAGACGCCATCAGAGGTACGATCCTGCTCCTACGGGCAGGCACATCAAGTAACACTAAACTTACTTATAAATACCCCTGAGTTCTAAACGAAAAGGGGAGAGCACTTCTTCATACAAAAATCCCCTCCGCATCCTCTAACTTGATCGTCGGAGGGGTCGAGCCGAGCGCCTCGGCCCGACCTTTGTGCAGGTGCAAGGACTAAGGTCCCCTGCGGACGCGCAGGCGAGTTCCCCTCCAGCGGAGATGGCTAACCTCGTCCTGAATCGGACCATTGCATCCGACCACCTCGGCGAACCCGAGGGCCGCATCGGGAAGATCCCCGCCTTCCGGACTCGAACCGAGCCGCGTCGGCCCCGAGGCCACGACTCAAAGTTGTTTCCCACGACAAGAATAATGAATATACAAATCTCAATCTCTTGCCCTAAACCCTAGCAAGAATCACAAGAGAACAACTGGGATACAAGAATCACGTCACTGTCCACGATATCTAAAACCTCCCTAAGTAATCACAACAAGAGTCTACTATAGATTTGATCTAACCTGAAATGAAAACACAGATCATCATCCTCCACCAGTTAGTCACGCCATCGGCCGCTTATGTCTTCACGCACGGGTTGGCCCCATCGATTCTCACCCTCCGTATAGAAGGGAGCTACCTTCACAGACAACACTTCGTATGCCAAACCATCACGCCAACACAACCATCACCCCATCCGTCAACATCACCGAACAGAGGAGGCAATGAAATCCCAGCTGCAGATGCATGCCTTTGGTGCTTCACATGTCTAAATCATGGCATGCTTGACTTCGGCAGGTGCTTGATATGTCTAAACCATGATATCATCGTCCTGTACCTGACTTTGATCTTTCTCAAGCCTCTCCAAGCCTAATTTGATCCCTAATCCGGAACTCTATACCATGCAGTTCTTCTAAAAGGATTTGATCGTTCTCAGAAGCTATATATTTATATTTTGATTTCATTACTTCAAGGTTTGTTTATGTTCTGAGATGAACAGATCGAAGAGTCGTATACTGACACGAGCAAAGCTTTTGTTTGTGGCTTCCTCCAATTAAAAGCAGAGAGAATGCAGCCGAACACCGCTCGTCTTTGATGCTAAGATTCAGCGACATGGCAAGGAATATGACGAGTCCCGAATCAAACACCTGTGGACTCTCTTCTGCTGCACTGCATCTGTGACCTCCTCTCCCTTCCCGCGAACCATTGCACGGTCCTCCTCGCGATCGGCAGCCAGAGTTTCCTCGCCTTCTCGTCTTCATCTCCATGGGTTGCGCTGTTGCCGGGATCTTTGAGCTGCATAAACCTTGATACGTTTGTGATATCCGACATCGATCTGTTGCCTGAGGAAATAAGAGCTCTCGTGTTGGTGCCGCTCGATGAAATGCTTGGAACAGACATCGAGTTGTTCTTGTTGATCTGGCTGGCTTTGATCTCGAGCAGTCTCTTCTTCTCCATCTCTTCCTTAATCCTCAGTAGTTTGTCATCAGCTGAAGCTTTTCCCTCTGATGCGCTTGATCTCGTTGACTCCACATTCCAGACCACGTCTTTACCGGATAGCATTTCCAGGTCCAAGGATATCAAGTCGGACGAGTTCACGTCGCTCCACCGGCTCTTGAACACGACATCGGAGACGATGATCTTGTGCTTGAACTGGTGCAGGATTCGGCCGCCACTGGCGCCTTCTTCGAGCGTTGGCAACTCCCGCCACTTGTCGGTATTCGGGAAGCTACTGCTGATGCTGAATCCTGATGAGCCGCGGAGATTGCCGGCGTCGTTGGGCTCCCGCTCCACGAACAACTCGAGGTCGCGGCCGCTGGCCTCGAGCCGGTCGGAGGCGAACAGGAAGCGAGAGCTGGTGGAGTACTTGAAGAGGCCGTCGTCGTCGGCGTTGACCTTGCACCGGCATAGGGGACAGCTGGAGTGCGCCTCGAGCCAGCGGTCAACGCAGCGGACGTGGAACGCGTGCTTACACTTGGGCAGCAGCCGGAGGACCTCGGCGTCATCGAACTTGGACAAGCAGACCGCGCACTCGAGGCCGTCGCGGACGCCGCGCAGCGACGAGAAGCGGAAGAAGGGTAGGGACTCGATGACGGTCCTGTCGATGCCGGAGAAGCGGTCCTGGGGCAGGATAAACCTTCCATGGCCTGCGGCGTCGGCGACGAGGAGGTCGGTGGCGTGGGCGGCGGCGGCGGAGTGGCAGACCTTGCCGTATATGAGGAGGAAGGTGAGGAAGAACATAAGGGCGAAGATCCCGATCACGAGGGCGACGCTCGGGCGGAAGGACACAGCCACGTTGGGCGGCGACCAGTAGACGGCATCGGTTTGCTGGGCGGCCGAGATGGCGAACGAGAAGAAGAAGAAGTAGGTGAAGGAAGCAGCGCAGGTCTCGGAAGGCATGGCGAGCTAAAGGGAAGATTCAACTCTAACCTGATGCTGCCATGGGAGCATTTTATGGGCAAGTGACGTTCTATTTCAACATAAAATTAAGGTTCAGAAATATTTTATAAGCTTTTCTATCAAACATTATTATTTACTACTATTCTACGAACCTAAAGAAGAAAAAAATCCAAACAAGAGGAGATAATGATATGTTTAATGGTAGATTTTAAAGGAAATAAACAATTGTAAATTTTATTGCAGATTTATAGGATTGCTTAAAGACTTTATCCTACAAAGAAAGGTTTGAGATTGTAAAAGAAAAAAATTATTTTGCCTAGAGAAAAGAAAAATAATGAGTGATGTGCCTTCATGAAATTTGTTGTGTTCTTCTTTATTTTATGTATTTTTATACGCACCGTTAAATATAAAAAAGGGGGAAAATCGTTTTTTGGTGTTGATAAGGCAAAAAATAAAATATAATTGCAATAGTCCTGATCCAAACTTGATGTTGCCCGCTTATGATAGACTACGGATCACAACCAATTTGGATTGCAAATGGAAGCTACGCATTCGTACAGTTAATGGTAGGATTCGATTGATGCACATGCTACGCACATTATGATAAAAAGATTCTTAAGTTATATTGACATTCACGTAGTTACGAAAGTGAAATGAGTAGATTTATTTATCTTTTTTATAAATAAAAATATAAAAATAAATGATAAAAAAATAATTTTAAGTTCGATAGTGGATGGTGTTGATGGCAGCGCCACCGGTGTCAGTAGTGACGAACCCTTCCCCCTCCCCCCTTGTCCTTGGCATTGAGTAGTTGTTGCCCTTTGTCTCCTTGACCACTTCCTCATCCTTACCCCCTCCACCTCCCCTTTTTACCTCCCCTTCTCCTTCTCCATCCTCGTCCCTACATCAAGCGCGTCCGACCTTGGCATTCCTTACGTGTCATGCTCGAGTTCTCCACCAACCACTGCTTAGATGAGTTCTTCGCCTACCTGGACATCTTGAGCGTTGACTTCCAAGTGATCGATGAGCAAGAACCGAAAATGCGAGGAGTCGAGGTTGGTCCCCGACTCGATCACCCTATTGGGTAGAAACCTCAATAGCTCCCAAGCGATATACATCAACACATCTATTGGATTTAACACCATCAACAGCAGCGTTCTCCGGTGAATACCTCGCCAATGATGACACGATCGCCTTAAACAAAGTCAAATTGCACTGCAGCATGTTCAATCGCGTCTCCCCCAAGATATGTCGAGCACTGGTCGTGATGATGCAGATATCCGAGTCCACCGTCATCGCATAATTTGGAGATGCCTGGATCCGAGTGTGCAGGAGAAAGGCCACGGTGTGCTACTTAGCATCTCCCCCTTGTAGCTTATCGAGTTTGGCATCCACTAATGCTAGCTCGTCCGTCGGGATCGTCCATGTAATGGCCATGCCCATGTTCCCGACACTGATCATAGATATCTTGGTGTGACGCTGAGTGGAAGATGGTGGTATCGTCGCATGATCGATGGGGCAGAATAAGGTCCTATGTATGTCATTAGCGAAGCCGAGCTCCAAGAGAGATGACACTTTCTTCATCTTCTTAGGTCGAAGCTATGAATTGACTGATATCAGGAAAGAAGGCGGACATGCTCGATGTCGGGGGTGAGGGTGGAGAAGAAAGGAAAGACAAAGGGGGAAGTAGAGGGGGAGGGGTCCGCCATCGATGCCAACGATGTTGTTGTTCGCCACCACTGATGCTAGCGATATCACTGTCCGCCATCGATGCCTCCACCACCGAACTTTAAATTACTTTTTAATCCTTTATTTTCATGTTTATGTCGATAAAAACTGACGTTGTTTGGGTAAATGGATCTAATCGTTTCATTTTCGTAACTAGAGGGATGCCAATGTAACTTTTTAAAGTATAGGAAACAAGATATTAAAGACAGCTAATTATGGAGTAATTACATATTACCCAATATAGTTAACTATGATTAGTATCGTGGTCCCTATATTTTAAAAGGTAACATTAAGATATCTGCACTTACGAAAATAAAACATTTAACCTTAATTCTTCTCATATCGTTAATTTTGTCGGCAAAATGAATCGCATATATTATCACGTGCAAAAAGATAAAAAAAATAATTTTACTATTTTTTAAATTATTAAATTTATATAATTTCATATAAACTTCTCCTCCCATAATCTTTCCAACTTGCTCGCCTAGAAAAAGAACAACGTTTGCAGCGCGAAGTCACCAAACCAGCCCTCTGGCCTCACGATACTCCTTCCATGGTCTACCGAGGTACGTGCAATGGACTGCGAACTTCGAGCGGCAGAGTGCGAGGTACTTGTTGCTCCCATTGATGGTGCAGTGGTCGAACATGAAGCCGATGGATTGGGCGAGATCAGTGCGGCCGTGCGCGGTGATGGTGTTGGACTCGTTGTGCTCGGGGTTGAGATAGCAGGGGAGGGGATGATGAAGATGAGGCAATCATGGAAGACGGTGGTGGAGTTGTCGAAGATGAAGTCGACGTTGCCGGAGATGCAGTAGGACTTGTAGAACTAGCGGAGGGAGTGGGTGTAGAGGGCGTCCTGGTGGTCGAGGAACTCCACCGACTCGAGCATGGAGAGGTCGCTGTCAGAGAGGAAGGCCACAACTTGGTGCTTGTCCAGCCCGACGGTGTTGGCGAAGGTCAGGTCTCGGGCCATGAAGTTATCTCCACTCACGCCTGTGGACGAACAAACATATGAGAATCGGTTACACTAAGCGATAGGAGTCGAACACTTGATATTGTCCTCTACAAGAAGATGAGGTCAAGCATCTCGTGACCGAGATCGAGGAGACAGTGACCTGTGACGATGGACTGAGACAAGATAACGTTTTAGTTATTAGTGCTTATGATCTACTATGTGTAAAGAATCTGATGGAGATCTAAATTAGTTCTACGTCCCGTCAATCAGCGCAACTTCGACCGTTGACTGAACCTCTCCAAACTGGCATCTGCCCTCCTTGCAAACCGTTGTGTCTAATGGTTTCCCCAGCCGAGGGAGCTCCTTCCGGACGATCTCTCCGCTTGGTGACGCCGAGGTGGCATCTGGCCAGTACCCATCCCTCTCGGTCTACAACGAGGCCCAGAGCGGATGTCGACGTCGTAGCGCTGCAGAGCGGCCACCATGGTGGTGGCGTTGCCAATGATGTTAGCGAGGTCGACGAGGAAGGCCATGTCTTCCGCCACCTGCTGGGGGCAGACCAATAATCATATTGGTAGAGCTCCGCGACGTTCGGGCAAGCAAGTTGGAAAGAGAAGGGGAGTAGGAAATTGGTCACGGTCGAAGGCGGCGCTTGGATCTCCTCTGGAACTCCACGAGCCTTGTGCGCCACCGACGCCGCCTTTGTTGTCTGCAGCGCAGCCGGAGGAGCAGTTTTTGTTAAAGCCTCTACGCTGCAGTGAGCGAGAAGTTTATATTAAATTAATAATTTAATAGATAATAAAAATATCTTTTTATCCTTTTTATTCGTTACTTGATAATACATACTTATATTTTTTTCTGTCGATAAAATTAACATGAAAAGAATTGAGATTAAATATTTCACTTTTAGAATATTATTTTTAAAAATATAAAGATCATAATACTAATTATGATCATAATTAGTTTTTAAATACTTCACTTTTCCGAATATTATTTTTAAAATATAAAGATCATAATACTAATTATAATTAATTATAGAGGATAATCTATAATTATTTCGTTAATTAGAAAGGGTAATTTATATAGTTAGTGCTGACATGAGTCTGGTCGGGTTAAATTTTGGTCCGAGAAAACTGGATCAACCTGTCTCGAATAAACCTTGACCGGTTCAGACCGCGCCGCGGCCCCAAGAGCCCTAAATGAACCTCATAGCGTGAAGGGAAGGTCGACTATGGCGAGCCGGCGATGCCTCGGCGCTCTCACTCGTCATCTACGCTCCCGTCTCTTCTCCGCCTCTCCTCTGGAGAACCCGCAAACCCTGAGCCTTCGATCTCTCGGTTTCGCGATCCCGCAACGAACTTCCTCGGATCTTGACATCTGTCGCAGGGCATTTCGTTGCAGTATTTCGATTCGTTTCGGCGGTGTTCGCCGTTGTTCTTCTCGTCCGACGAATCCTTCAGACGAGGAGGAAGATGAGGACGACGAAAGCGAAGAAGAGGAGGAGGAAAACAAGGAAGGAGGAGTGAGCAGCGATGGAGAGAATGGAGATGTTCGGGCTTCGAAATGTGTCGTTCAGAGGGGGAAATCGGACGAAGAGAAGGTAGAAGAGGCTGCTGAGATTGGGTATAAGGTGATCGAGCCGCTGGATTCGTCGGAGAATCCGTTCAAGTCATATGAGCCTTTTTTCGCCGTTGTTCAGGTTTAGATTGCTGGATATATTCCCTTTTCTCTGTTGCTTTTCTTCTTGATTCACATTCCATCCTAAAAGCTCTCTTTTTCTGTTCTTCGTAATGTTATAGATTGGTTCCCATCAGTTTAAAGTCAGCAATGGGGATTCCATTTTTACGGAAAGACTGAAATACTGTGAGGTTAATGATAAGGTAAGTGTATTTGAAAATACAAGTGTATGCTTGTATATGTCTGTTTCTACTTCTCATGGTATCAACTTCTCCTTTGGTTGCCTATTTTATCTTTCATGTAAGAAATTTTTACGTTGGATCTTTTAGATGTTTTAATAGGAAGGTATTCAGTTGCATAACACAGAGAACAATTATGAACAGATGAGTAGTGTCATGAGTCTAGGAGAAACAGAAATTGCAAAATCCAAATGATATATGGTCTACTTCCTTTGTTTATGTTTATGTCTTTAGCTTTATGATTTTGAAATCGTTCAAAATGCTCATTTCTTCTTTTGCTTTTTGCTTGTTGTTGTAGTATACTTCAAACTCAGGAAATTGTCACATGCAATAAGTACTTGATAGATAGGAATTTTTACAGTAACTAGTAGAGTGGTAACCAACCATTATTCATAATTATCAAAATGCTAGTTATTCAGAAGCTGAAGTCATTGTGTTTTTCCTCCTCCAGCAATGGGTTTTTACTTCATAAACAAGTAGAAAAATTCAGCCCATATTGATAAATATGTTGCATCTGAAACTGATGTATATTTAAGAAGTGACTGACTTTTGATCATATAAGTTCTTCCCCCCTCGAAGTGAACTTTGCACA